TGCTCTTTCAAAGGGGCACTAATGATGTCACAACAAAAAGTCTGAGGTTGTTTAAAAGAGACTTCAGAGCCCTGGCAAGAATGCTAAACAACTGAGGAGCACAGGTAGCTTCTTCCTCAATTCTTCCACTAATGGGGAGAGACTTTGGAAAAAACAGGTGAGCCAAGGATACCAATACCTGGCTCTGGAACTGGTGCCTCACAAAACTTTGGGGTTTTAAGCCATGGAAGAGCCTTCAAGGCACAAAGTATGTTGTATTTAATAGAACAGAAGAGATCAGAACATTTTCAGTTGGAAGGGACCTACAATAATCATTTAGTCCAGCTGCCTGACCACTTCAGGGCTGACCAAAAGCTAAGCCTGTTATTAAGGGCACTGTCCAAATGCCCTTTGAACACTGACAGGCTTGGAGCACAAACCACCTCTCTAGGAAGCCTGTTTCAGTATTTGACCACCCTCTCAGTAAAGAAGTGCTTCCTACTGTCCAGTTTGAACCTCCCCAGACACAGCTTTGAACCATTCCAATGTGTCCTATTACTGGATACCCACGAGCAGAGATCAGTACCTTTCTCTGCAGGCTTTCAGACGATGATCTTAATGATTTGCTTTAACTTTTGTTCACCCCAGAAGCAGTCAGGCCATTGGACTAGATGATCATTGTAGGTCCCTTCCAACTGAAATATTCGACTCTGTTCCATTCTATTCTAAGGGCTATCCTGTTGAACCAAGTTTCTGTTGTTCATTTTCTAGTTAGCTTTGGAGTTATGTCCCACTTAGATGTTTGTAGAGATTTCTTCTACTACTCAAGAATGAAGATTCTACTATTATTTTATGTTGATATATCACAGTTACCACCCTACCCTAAAACTCTTCAGTAGTATTATTTCCAAGCCACGGTACCACAGCAGTAGAACAGGTAACAGCTACTCATATGGTTTGTACTTCCATTCTATTCTTGAATTGCATTAGAGCCCACTCACAAACTCAATTGCATTAGAGCTCACTCACAAACAATAATAAACATAGTCTCAAAAGAAACAGTTTGAAAAAAACCCAACATTCTCTATATTCTCTTCTCAAAGGCACATAGCATGGCCACACAAATTCAATTTGGAATCTCTTGCCAGGATTCCAGAAATATACTGTAAGGAGAGCATAAAAGCAGACATACACAATTTGCATGAACACTTGTGAAACAGATGTACACCACGTTTCCAAGTCCACTCTGGAACACTGTGCCACAAGCGCCCAACACCAGGAAATTCAGAGATGATTAAGAGCAGCCTTCACCTACTTCACAGTGAAAGCTAGTTACTTACCTCCATAATATCCTCTAAATTCTCCTCTGCATCTGCTTTTTCAGTCATCAGTTTAGCAGCTTTGAAATAGGTTTTCATAAGCAGATAACCTCTCTTGGCCCCATTCCAGTGAGAACGGGGAATTTCCACCAAACCATAACCCAAAAGCAACACAAGAAGAAAGAGACCCCATGTGTTTGCAGCAGCTATCCCAATAGTCTGAAGTTGGTTCCTAAGGAAAAAACAATAGTAAAAAAACCAAACCAAACCAAACCAAAATAAAAAAACCTCCAAAAACCCCCAAACAAACAACATCCTCCAGAAAGCAATGCTGAAGTATGCACCAATATGGCTTTCAAGTTTACAGGAACAGGCTTAGTGTCATCAGTTGTTCTTGGGTAGGGCCAGTCTACTACTTCTCATATTTAAAGCTGCCACTATTTTCCTGTATCTCCCATGTTTCTGTTCCCTCTGGAGGGAAAACAAAAATGTTTGTTCTCAAGGAGTATGTTACTTTAGGAAGCAACATGAGATTAGCAAACTCACCGAAAGCAACATTGAAACATCATAATGACAGTCACTATAGCAAACAGCCTCAGAACCCATGATTTGTATTCAGAAGTGGAAGTTGAAAGCAATGAGGCATTACATAACGGTAACTGTATCTAGTACGGAAGACCATTAGTAGTGTTACAAATACCAAGTATTTTACCTCCTTTAAATAGAATCCACAGTGGACAGAAACCCTACACAGGAAATACTGACACAGGCTTTTTGAAAGACCTTAATCTGAAACCACTGATGAAGTTTCTGCACTAACTTTGCAAATGCATATATAGGGAGGAAAAATCCCATTGCTAATATAAGGGAATTCCTCTGCCATACATGCCAAAATCAGAAAACCAAAACACAGATTTCTACAAAAAGGCAAAAAATCCCTTTTCACAAAAAAAGCCAACAAAACTTCCCAACTGCCTAGCAAAAATCAGATCAACTATAATGATTTATTATAAAAAGACCCATTTCATCTATGGAAGAGATCACCTGTGACAATTTTGTAAGAACTCGTGCAAGTCCTTACAACATTATTCTTACCATTGTAAGTTGAAGTTTGGGTTTACAGCCACATATATTAAAAATGCTCCAAAAATCAGCAAGTAAGTGCCATAATAGATTGCATTCTCAATCAATGCAGTTTTAATCTTTCCAGTAATGGAGAACCCTCCTGATCTAGCATATGACTGCATGAAAGGTAGCAGAATCCTAGGAGGAAAGCAAACAAAACCAAATCACATCAGTCAACCAAAAAGAAAAAAACAAAAATATGAAAAAACCCAAACAGTAGGTTAGCAGTGGCTGGATACTGAGATAGGGGTGTCTAAGCTAGACTAGTTCAATGTTTTATTCTAGATACACTGGTCTGATGGCAAACCTTAAACAAGCTGCAGATAAAAACAATACAGGTAGTTTTACTTTGAAAAATCTGTGTTAATTGAAAACTCACTACCAACCCTGATATTCTTGACTGAGCTTCAAAAATAATCATTTGATGGTAAGTTGATTTGAAACCACACATCAATCTAACTGAAAAGCACACAACAACCTGTTTGCTGTACCTGTATCTATAGCTTTATAGAGTATGTCCAATAAAACAAAATTATTTACAATATCGCTCAAAAATCATCCAACTTATTAATGGAATTATTTTGCTGTCTGGTTGCCTAAACCCTGTTTTTTTCAAACAACCTATCCATAAACACCTCTGTATAAATTGCTCGGTTTCAACTATAAGAGGTGAACCACGATTAAACCACTGCCATCTGAAAAAGTATGCTCAATTTAATACAGTAATTATTAGAGAAATTTCATTGCTAGCAAATAATACATGACTAGACAAGTCTGTGGAATAGTGATATATATTCTTTAAAAGGACATGATGACTGTTAAGATGTTGTACTTAAAAACTATATATATACTGTAGTCCTTGTCACATTCTTTTGCTTTACTTACCATGTTAAAAACTGTGATGTCCAATATACAACACGCCAGAAAATCGGCATAATTCCATTAGGAATGTAACTCCATGGTTTGAAACATTTTTGCTTGCTGTAACAGTGTATAGAAAATTATTGTTAGATTTAGGGCCAAGATTAAAAAATACATTTTCTATAAATTCCCCTATTTGGAAAGGTCTTTGAAAATAGCATAGAGGTAATCTACTACTATTTGAGTACATAGTCAACCAACAACCATCTCAGAAGAAAATAAACTGAATCACCACTTTAAAGTGTTTATTGTTGTCCTCACCACACATACGTTGACAAGACAGCTTTCTTAGAGAAAAAAAACAGTAGCTCACAGTCTACAGAGAAAAAAATAATTAAGCAATATAAGGTTGTAATTTTTTCTTTTTGGGCAGTAAATACTTTCTTTGTGCAAAGAAAAGCCAATTCTGTAGACAGAAGCCCACTCAACTTTAGTTAGTGCAGCAGGTTTTTATAAAGTATTTAGGGACCCCATTACCTAGCTCTACTTACAAGAGCATTTATCAATAACAAAAATAGATGTTTTAGTTGTTTCTTAATCAGGCTTATATAAACTGTGATTTGTTGAGCCAATACTTTTCTGACAGGTAGTGCCTGCTTCAGAAGACCAGAAAAGCCACAAAAATCTTTTCAGTAAAAAAAAATTAAAGAGCAAAACCCAAAGTATGCATCCACTCTCTAAGTGGATGCACTTCATTTTTATTCCCGCACCTGCCTGGGTAATAAAGCAATGGTGAATCAATGGGCAACACAGTCAGTTTAATAGAATTATCTATTGAGAAATAATTGGTGTTTGCCAGGGTTGAACTAGTTAAGCTTGAGCTGTGGGTTTTTATGTATACAGTCTAAATAGTTTCAAAACTATCAAATTACCAGAGAATGATAGTTAGTGTGACTACAGGTTTCACACAAAGTTTCAAGATCTAATGTGTACCAATACAGTATCTGCTCAATTATTACTTACATTGATATTGCTATTTGAAATACTCAAGTCATATACTCTAGTACAATATCCACCAGCATGTTCTGAAACTATAAGTAAATAGAAATGCTGTTGAATAGTTTTCAAATTGTGTATTCACCTGACTATGCTTAATTATTGTACACTGCAGGTTCTTAAATAGAGGATACAAAGTTGTGTCACTAGGTCTGGCATTTTACTGTTCTTGCATGAATATAGAACATACAAACAGCCTCTGCTGTGGTTCAACAGAATCGGAAATACTTTGCATGGAGGTATCAAATGCTCTAATTGTCTTACAGATAACTACACTGCATATATCTACATCTACAACATGTGGAAAGAGCCAACAGCAGCTAAAGAATGAGCAGCCATGGAAAGAGCCCACATTGGCCTTTATTCAGCATGTTTTAGGGATTACTTCCTTCCAAGACAGCAAGCAGACTATCATTGCTTTGGTAGAATGCAGTAAATTTCATATAATTCTAATTACTATATATATGCAATTATAATAAGCAATTAGATATGCTACTTACATATAATACAAGTCCACTAATTTCATTCATTATGTGTAAAATTAGATTTTCAGGTCTAAAGTCTTTAAGACTGTGAAGGAAAGATAAGCATTCACCAAGGCCTGTCCTCACAGATAACTAAGATTGCTCGAAAAGCTTTAACAAGAAGATAGAAGAAATCTACCATGATTTTAAAAAAAGGAATATTTAGGTCATCAGTTAGAACTAATGCGTAATTCTACCAATAAATGCAGATGCACTTTTCTTCACCTCTTCCCTCACCTTCCTGTATGATTACAATCTTCAGGTGTCATATCGCTCAGATAACCCTTGCTTATTAGACTTAAAATCACAGTACACTCCTATCATTTAAAAGAAGGAAATCATGAAACACTTCTTCAAAAATGATCTATTGAAGAAAATATATAGCTCATACCTTGGAGCAAGAGTAACATAAGAGCCATTACTTTCTGCAGGGCTGGAGTTAACAGCAAGTTTGCACCGATTATATATAGTCTAAAAGACAATTAATTTTACATCAGTGACCAAAAAATCTATAATATTTATTTAAAAACAATAAGACCTATTTTAAAAGACATTTCCTGTACTACGTTTGGAGCAAATATACCAATAAATCCTCAAAACAACATGCAATCTGCAGGACAAGTAAGTGAAAATACAGAAAGTGTTTATATGTTACCTAATCAGGTAGTAATTATTTTTTTTTTAATAAACAAAGAATGAGATTTTAAAACATTTGAAATAGATTTGTTATCTGATGAGATCAGTATAAAGTCACATTAGTTGTAAGTACAGGTGCTGTCATGCAAAAAGGTAGCAAGTGTTTACTTCAGTAAAATACTCTCTGGAAAATTTATTTGCTGTTTAAGATACTGTCTTTTGAAATTATTATTTAAAAAAAAATACCATACACATTTTACACAACTAAGCAGGAAATCTCGTAACTCTCTTACCGTGCTGACATCCAGTGGCAGTATAAATACAATGAGAAAGCAGAGATACCAAGCCAATAATGTTGCTATGATCACCAGCCTATGCTGCTTCTTGAAGTCTCCATACCGATGAAGTAGGAATAAGGCCAGAAAGAAGACAAATACTATCTCAAGGCCCAGTGCTGCACCACTCATTATTGAGTGTTCACCCCAGCTGCGCAGCGCAGCTCACTTGAAAAGGCAGATCAGAACTGTAAGACAAAAAGACATTTAATTAAAATCTCTGGAAGATATTTACACAGAAAAGAGTTGTTTAACAGACATTTATTAACCTATATCTAGAGTTTTGTTACTTCACATGACAAGAGTTCCGATCAGATGAAGAATAAGATTTTTAGCAAGGTGGTCTACAGTTCTCTGAAGAAATCTAAATATCATGTCATTCCAATTTTGTCATTTCTAGCAACATATTAGGATAACTCCTCTTCATCTGCTTCACATACAATAGCTCCAGAAGTCAAATCTCTGTACTTAAATAAGACTATAAGCATAACGTTTAAGCCCATAAATAAATAAATACATATATACATACATAGAATCATAGAATCATAGAATAGTTAGGGTTGGAAAGGACCTTAAGATCATCTAGTTTCAACCCCCCTGCCATGAGCAGGGACACCACACACTAAACTATGTCGCCCAAGGCTCTGTCCAACCTGGCCTTGAACACTGCCAGGGTTGGAGCATTCACAACTTCCTTGGGCAACCTATTCCAGTGCCTCACCACCCTCACTGTGAAGAACTTCTTCCTTATATCTAACATACATACATACATACATCTACTCTACTCTTTTTTTTTTCTTTTAGAAGAAATCAACTAGTTTGGACAAAGTGTTACACGTTTAAATTAAATATTTCTGCAAAGCTAATGAGCAACTTTATTATTGGACTGTTCCTTAACTATGCATTTAAATCCTGTACTCAGACTTAAGAGAGCATAAAAGTACAGCACAGTACATGTTAGTCTGCTTCTGATGTACCTCTTTTAGGTTTCAAATCTCTTCCAGCAAAAGGGAACATGCTAGCTAATTCACCTGCCTACTCCTGCTCTCCAGAGAAACAGAGGTCTCAGTTAATTTGTTACTACTCTGGCCATGATACATTTTCGCTTAGGTCATTCTTTTGGTTTTAGTTACTCTGTGTCACATTCAGGATGGCTAGAAGCCTCTACAAACTTAGAACCAGTGCTATTATGCAAAGGGCCAGTAAACTGCACAAATCTGTTAGAGAAAACTTCACTGACTTGTTTACATTGTCAGTCAAACTGCTTCTGACCTTTTTAATAAGCATCATTTTACCACAGGCACTCCACACATTATACATAAATAAAACAGTAAGTTTATTACCCCGGTCAGGCTGACTTGCTTCTCCATCAGAATTACCATCATAGCTGGTTTGATTAAACAGATATAGGATATGTTTTGCTATGGCTTCCCCACTGCCGAATTTTCAGTGCTTTCACTATTCATTCGAACTTGACAGATTTAAAAGAAATGCTACTGCTAAAATTTCCTCAACTGACTTTTAAATACCTTCAGAATTTGTTAAAATGAACTTTTTCTTTTACTAATCTCTCAGTATAGTGCTTAAGCAGATCTGTTATGGATGAGGGCACTCAGCAGTGAGAAGTGTCTTCAAAACAAAATTTCAAAGTTTGTGATGTTAGTACTTCCTTTGGGACACATAGGACAATTATTTTGTGATTTAGGGTTTCTTTTTTCCCTCTCCAATTTTGCTACTTTCATATTTAATTTCTGAATAGTAAGAGCAGTCTGTTAACTCCATGTTGGCAGCTATACACAGAGCACCCCATGTTCTGAAAACAGCTCGAGTTACCTTACCAAAGAAGCACATACTTCTTATCTTCTGCCTTTTATCTAACATGTTTACCAAATAAATAGCATTTCTGTTAGGTCAAAATATCTCCATGCTATCTGCCTGTTCCAGGTTTTGGCTAGATCCTTTGTAAATCCAGGATAGCTAACCTATTTCTTAATCACTTATTCTAAGCAAGTCCTTGTCTATTCTGTTGTACCATTGTTGCTTCCTCAGACAGCAGTCTCTTGCATTTATACTATCATAGCAAATTCCACCAAAAATGAATGGAAAATAAATATCATATATCAACTTTATTAAGGCAGTGCTGACATATGTAGCTTTGGGTGCCCATTACAGCCACACCTTATACTATGTAAACAAAAAAATTATACAGCATACTCTCCATTAGTCACACCTATACAATTTTTTCCTATAGTCACGCCTAAACAGCTGCTATCAAAACAGAAGGTAAAAAGTTTCTGTGCAAGATGCTATACTGTTACTACCATGAGGGAACTTCCAAAAAGATTATAAAAATATGCTGAATATGCTAAAAGTTTGAGTTCCACAAAACTTAGCTCACTTTCAAAGACAAAAGCAACTTTGCAGGTGTAAACTACTTCTTTTTGTTCTTGACCTGGTTCCTATTTCAGTCTCAAAATACAAAATGAAAGGCCTATTTTTTTTCCAGACTGCAACTGATGACCAATAAGAGTTGTTTTAAAATAATAAATACACATTTTCAAAATTACATTCCAAAATTTTTAGATAGAAACCACTTAAAACTAAGCTTAAATGGAAAAAAATCCAAAGGTGAGATATGCAATGCTTGAGAGGAGCTTTTATTGTGAGCTAAATCATGCCTAACTGGACAGACATATCTGGGACCCATGCTACTAGAATTAGACCTTAAAATACATTACTGCAGGCTATAGAGCCATGCCTTCCCTCAGCAAGCAGCATTTGCCTCTGAACCTGGTTAGTACCTCAAAGAAAGGTAAGTTTCTCTCACATAATTCTGTTTCTTTGTTTTATTTAGGCAGGCTTCTCGCTATCAGCACATGGCACCCTAGTATCAGCTGGCTAAAATTCCTGAGCCGTCAGGTTCTCCTGAGATCAACGAAGTACTTGAAAAGAGTTCTCTCATACTGCACAACCTTCCACTGCTTAGAACATGCTCCTATTAAGCAATGACAAGAAGTTAGAAAATCCCTCATTCTGAAGGGAAGAGTATCTATCAGCATAGTCTGTTTCTGGAGAATAAGGCAGCTACAGATTAATATGAGACCAAAAGCTGAAACACTGGCACTGAAGTGCAACTTAACCAATAAAAGACAACATTCTTGTGTAGGCTTAGGGTTTTCTTGCTTTGTTTCAGACACACACAAAATCAGAAAGTTTTTAATTTTGTGAATGGAAGTTCGATTACCCCCAAGCAGGACATACATACAGCCCAAACCCTGTCAATAACTCTTTGCAAGCTCAGTTCACACTTAATTGCCTTGGAGGCTCCAGACTATCAACAGTATTGAATTACCATGGCAATCTCAAAGCTAACCACTTCATAACCATCTACATTACGTAGGAACTACTCTGCCTGGTGCAGAAATACTGAAGTTAATAAATGAAGCAGCAGAGAATGAAAAAGACACACTTCCTTAGAATTTTTATATATAGCATGAAATTTAACAACAAAGACATTCCAATATTATATTCTTAAAGAACGGCTAAACAGAGTAGAGCATATCTGCGAAGGACCTTGGTCTCACTAAAGTGGTCTCCAATATCCCTTGATCAGAAACCCTGGATCAGACTGTACCACAGTATTATTCTTTTCAAACTTTGCAGGAAAGCATTTTACCAACAGATTGTTCATTTTGCAGACTAAGGTAACTGGTGCTTCAATCCTTCCCAGTCAGTCTAATATCACACTTTCTACAGCATTTCTCATTGCTGCTCTGGATACTCGCCTCAGTTCACCCACTCCTACAACGAGTTGGAACCCAGGCAGTGTTCCACCCAATGCCTGAGAAGGCCTGAACTGAGGGTAAACATTGCTTCACATGTCTTACTGAAATGTATCAATAGAAGCATAACCTGAGTGATACTCCCTTCATGTACTCAGCTTATTATGCCCTTCAAATTATTTCCCTCTAAGAAACAGTACACCGTTCTCTGTCCGGTATTTCTGTAGTTAATCAGAGAGATTAACTTAAAAGCAGGCATGAAACTGAACTCATTTGTACCCTTTCCTCTCCTGCAGGCTTCTGAATCTTCAACACATTTTGGTTTCCACTACCACTCAAAAAGATCTGAAATTCCTTCAAGCTTTATGCCTTTTTAAGTTATCACAGTTACGTTATTTCATTATGGAAACTTTTTGAAAATACCATGAAGAGTAGTTTACAAGGGGCTGACCTCCTTAATCACAACAGTAGCTGTTCCCACTGTTCTTCCCCAGCAAAAATGTCCTGAGAAACAGAATAAAATGTCCTATTACAGACCAAATACAAGACATCAACTGACCCTCTTATCTACAGTAGGCCTACCAGTGAAATAAGTTAGACTGCTTCAAGAATTTGTCCTTGAAAAACTGCCTTTTACTCAGCTATTATATTCTGGATGCCTACAAATAGCTTTTTTTCCTTTTTTTCTTTCAGGAATTCATAAGGATGAAGACCAGTCTGTCAGTCTCTAATTCTTCCTGTCCTTCAAAATTAGTAACAAAGACAGCCACCATGCTTCTGGTTCTCCTGTCTTTGGTACCTCAGCCATTTCTAAAAAACTGCAGCCTTTTTTCTCTGTTCTTCAAGTATTCTCAGGTAAACATCAGATTCAGAAAAGATTTTCAGAAAACCTGGATGTTTCAGTTCAAGCACTTGAAGAACAAAGCAGCTAGAGATCTCTTTGCCTTGCTCTGTATTTTACATGTATTTATATGCTCTGTATATTATATGTAACACCATAATTACATCTGGAAAAAAAAAAAAAACCAAAACCAAACTGTCACTAAGAAAGTTACCAAACTATGAAAGAGATATCAAAAACAGTAATGGGCAAAAAAGAGTGACAGCCACAGCATACCAAAAAAACCATCTGTGTGACAGCACCTCCCACCTCAAGCTAAGTTCACAACTCAGAAGGAAGTACAAAGTGAAAGCTGCTATGTCCAACAAAATATCAATGCCCAGTTCAACAATGACCTTTTTCCTTTCTGTCAGGCAATAATCTGCTAGTTCCTACTGGGTTTCTTCCAGCACATTCACTTGGCAAAAGAAAAATAATATGCCACAACCTGTAATAGATTCTGAAGGTTC